AACTTGTAGCTGGCAGATGCTGGGCACAGAAGAAGCTGCCCATCTCCCTAGCACTGCTAATGAAATGATCGTCATTTTTAGAAGAGGGGCTATACATGTACAACACAGTGGTCAGGGTCTTGGTCAGTGATCTAGACAAAATATCTAAATCTGAGTTACCTCCAGAAAATCACAGTTCATTAAGACAGTTGTCAGGCATGTTAAAAAGCAAGTTCAGTTCAAAGAGAGAGGAGGAGATTATTATACTGATTATATTCCAGAAATTCATCTCTGCCAATACATCACTTAATACTACTACCCCTGGGTTGACATTCTCAATTACAATATACATCATAAACTTATGAAAACCATTCAAATAGCCCTTGACTAATAAATCAAAGATAAATTTAAAAAATAACAGACTTGATTTTTGAAGCCATCTGCCAAAATAGACTTCCTTCATCTATGGAGTACAAGCAAATGAGTTTGAAGTAGGTGTCGTGAGAAGAATAATGTTTATTCTCTTCAGACAGTGGACTTTACTGAAGCCAAGGAGGTAAGGTAAAAATCTTGGTACCATGTTCAACACTGTGTGGAGTACCATGTCTCAGGGGTAATACAAAAATATTTCTATCTGTCTTGCAAGCTCTGCAATTAATTATCCCACAACAATTTACCAAAAGTAATACATTCCGCTGATCCCGTAGTCTCAATTTCTATAATTCCCTTTCCTTTTGCTGCAATTTATGGAGAATGCAGTACAGGGTTACAGATTAGCTGCTGTAATTAGAAGTAGACTTCAAAAGAAATTAAGAGTGTTTGTTTCTTTGTTCATTGGGTTTCATTGTGGTGGCCCTAGAGATCATTCCAGCTAAATTATTTCTTAAAGCCATGTGCCCATCTAGACCCTCTCAACCATATTTTCAAAAACTCTTTGGACCCAATATGATGAATCAGTAATGTGACACCAGCTGAGTGGAGAATATGTTTTAAACATAAGTGTAACCACCAGTAGGTATAAAATAGTTGAATACTAAAAGCCTGTCAAGGTAATAACTAGACAGCTTCCTACCACGACTACTTCAGCTTTTGAGTAATAGGGAAATATTTTCCAGTCAGCCCTCAACCTCAAGCCTAGGAAACCTAAAATGCTTCTGCATCCAAAGTTTCCACAGGCATTTTCTATTTACCATGTTTGTCTGCAGAAGAGCATATTTACAATGGAGACAAGCCACAAGCTGGAGATTCCATATTTTATAAATTTGATAATAGCAAATAATGATGATAGCTAATATTTAATGAGGGCTCACTACAAGCCAGCAACTAATTCCAGGAATTAACTAATTTAATACCTCATAATATACATATGAAATAAGTACTGTTATAGCTCATTTTAAAGATGGATAAGCTGAGTCTTAGAATATTTTTCTAACTTGTCTCCTGTCATACAGCTAGTAAGCACCAGAGTTAGGATTCTAAGCATGCAGTTTGACCTCAGATACTCTCTGAATCACTAACCAGGGAACATAAATACAAATAAAGGGCAATTGATAGGTATTGAACTTTGGTAACTTTCTTAATTACTTTAGAAAGATTTCATTTAATCCGCATACAATATATTTTATAAAAGGCAAATAAGTCTCATAAAGATTAAGTTACTACTCAATTCCACAAAACTAGCAAGAGAAATATCTAATATTCCATATACTATATCACACCAACTCTTTGTAATTCAAAGACTAAACTGAGTGGCAGTTATAGAAGCAGAAATCTCACTTGAATCTGCATTTCAATGCTATTGTAAGAAAGTGACCAGTGGAATCTGTCTAGCAGGGATGCTGATAGGATAGAGAAGGAATCTGAGATAACATAAAACCAGCATAAGCAAGGAGCAATAGGCTCTAAACCATTAAGACACTGCAGTGCTGGGGTGTTAGTGTGTATGTACACATAAGCACATCTGTGAACTGTTTGCTGTTTGGTTTCATTCTGTTTTCAATGACTCCTTTTATTTTCATGATAAAATAAATATTCGGTGGTTCTCAACTATGGACAGTATACACCACCAAAGAGTGTTTGACATTGTATGAGGGCGATTGATTGTCTTCATGACGGGGGATCTTATTGTCATTTATTGGCCATGGACTAGAGATGCAAAACACCCCACAATATTGTGTCTGCACAAAAAAACACTGTCCCATCAAAAATTCCAATACTGCTCATCCAACATTAGTACTTAAAGGAAACCATTCAGGTATTGTTAAGAAAAAAAAAAATACATGATTCAGGTGAACTTAATCATTTGTTCTCAAGATTCTAGTGCCCCAAGTGGACAGAGTTAATAAATAGGGACTGTTGTAGATACAAAGTATGTTTCTGTTTAAGATGCTACTGCATCTTACACATACATAGATGTAAAGTCTTGCTATTAATACTATGGGGAAAATATGTAAGACCCTCGTCTCAATATCTTCATAGTTTAACCCAAAAGAAAAGTTCCTACTTATAACGTAGTTCCTACTATGAACAGTATAATGGTGACTAAATATAATCGAATTCTGGTCTTATATTAACGTCATTCATTCACTCATTCATCTATTCACAAAATACCTACAAAGTATCTATCATGCTAGACACTATTCTAGTAGCTAGGAAGTCACTATAATAAAACAGGGACATCTCCTGCCAATCATGGAATTTTCACATGACTGTATTTTTTATCTACTACACATATATACAAATACATACATAATTTCAGTTAGTGATAGACACTATGCAGACAAAATAAGGCAGGAAAGTGGCTAGAGAGTAATGGGAGAGATATCTATTATGAGGAGCACAGGAAAGGAAGTGACATTTGAGCAGAGCCCTGAGTGATGTTGAGAAAACAGCCATGCACGTGTCTGTGGGAAAAGTATTACTGGCAAAGAGAACAGCAAGAACAAAGTCAATAGAAAACAATAAAATTGGCATGTTTAAGAAACAGCAAAAAAGTGTGATTGGAATGGAATGAGCATGGAAGACATTACAAGAGGCAGGCAGAATGTTTAGTGCTTTGTGTTGATGGAAGTGGAGAGTTTTACGCACAAAAAGACATGGTCTGATTTTTTTTTTTTTTTAAATCACTAATTAGGGTAGTAAGAAGACAAAACTCAGAACTAGGATACCATACTACTTTAGAAACTAGAACTATGATAACACACACAAATCATGAATCGGATATAGCAATACCTTCGTTAAATTGCCTGATTGGGGTGGGTACTGGTTAGGAGAAGTTAGCCAATTTTATTTTAAAACTATGTGGAGCCAAAACATCCCTGCACAAACTTCTGCCACACTTTTCTATATGGGCCAGGTCATTAATCAATCTCTTAATATAATAATTTTTTAAAAGCACTTTGCCCTCTTCAGCCCCCTCAAACTTAAAACCAAACCACTATCTTCAATATTAACACACTTTGAAAGAAGTCTGTAATACCACTAGCTTAAATGTTTTTGTTTGTTTGTTTGTAGGTGAGGGTTGTGAGGCAACCCTTGGTTGACCTCACAGATTGCAAGGACCTTGTCAGCTTAAAAGTCCTTATTTTTTTTTAGTTTTTATGTCTACAGCACCTGCTCTTCCTTGGTGGTCTCCCATCCAAGTATTAACCAGGCCCGATCCTGCTTAGCTTTCAAGATCAGAGTGGGATCCAGCTTGTTTAGGGTAGCATAGCCAAAGACAACACTAGCTTAAATGTCTGCTGACTTGAGCTAACTGAAATAAACATACAAGTAAAAATTAAATCCCAAAAATGTTCACATTAGACTATAAGAGAATATTTTGGGAGCCATAAAAAATAGCTATTTCAAATATAATTTATTAGAGAGGTACAATAATAAAAGTAGATTAAAGCAAATGAGACAAAGACAAAACTTGTTAAAACTATCAAGTTTAGAGAAATAATGCTGACAACTCTATTGTGTAGTTATCCTCAGACTTCCAATTTGCAAGACACCTTGGTTTGGTTTATTTGGCACTTCTTCATCTTTCATAAAATCTTGTTGGCACATTTATTTATTATCATTAGCCAAATGATTATTAGTCAACATGACTGAGCACCTGCTGTGTGAGTGTTGAGCTAGAATACAAAGTTTTGCTGTTAAAGAGATTAGTAATGTATCAGAAAAAGATAACGATACAAGATTACATTCTATTTATTGACATTGAACTGAATGTACCTGTCGTACCTGAGAGAATGTATCTGAGACACTGAGACTTTCAGACAGAGGTGACTTCATCTCTACTAACTTAACACATCATTAATAACTTACAATATGAGAGTGTTAAATAAATTGTCAGTACATGAGAATTCAGAAGGCTGGGTGACTAGAGAGGTTCAGTAGGGACTTCACAGATATTTTACTTTAAGAGATTCTTTCAGGAAGGATTAAAACTTATATACGCAAATAATTCATTCTTATTTAAAAAGAACGATTTTTACATCTTTTTATAAATATTTGGGGCCACTTAGGGTGGGTATCATAAAAACATGATTGAGAGGCAATCACTAAAGTATACCATATTGTGCACTCTTTAACTAATACAGAAACTGAGAACTCTAGAACCAAAAACGTATAAATCTTCTTATAGTGCTTAAACCATTTCTCCTAAACTTGGTCTGATTAACAAAGGTCATAAGGCACATTTCGAAGATGGTGGCAGGAGATTTCCTGCTTCAAAAATGTTGGAAGCCCCTAGTTTAAAGCCGTCTTAAACAGGTATATCTGCTGGGGGGTGATGTCTTCCTGCTGTTTTACCTACACTTCAAGTCGAAGAAGACATAACTACTCGTGTGTCTTGAAAATTTGATAAGGGTAAAAAACAGTTGCTGACAATTCTTGACCCTGCTTTTAAGCCAGCTTTTCGAAAGCTCACTAAAACAGTTTAGCAATAAATAGTTGGGACGCGTGTGGCGATGCCCACTAAACTCGCTCCTCCTCTTCTCGAGTAGAGCGAGACGGTCATGCCATAGCCAGTCACAGGAGAGTGCGCTCGTGCATCCTGGGAGTCGTAGGCAACGGGGATTGTGGGAAATGTAGTTTAGCGACTCCACTCTGCTTGCCATTCCTGTAATGGCTGCTTCTTGGAAGGTAATGTAATAATTCTTTCCAAAAGATACTTAGGTTGTTCCAGTGTATTTATATAATGACTGCAGGGCCTAAGCAGAGGTTCTTTTTAAAATCTTAATATTAAGTCCTAGAACGAACTTGTCTCTCGGGTCGATACATTTTGTTTTTCCTGTGTGGGCGAACTGACCAACCTTAAGTCTAGTTCACTTCTTGAGCAAACTGTTTTCTCTAGTTATTACCCATTTCTCTCCCTTCCGTTAAACCTCCCTGCCCTGCATTGACTCCAGCTGCCTCATAATAATAATGGCAAAAAAGATGATGATGATGATGAGTAATTTTTAAATCCTCTCACCCTCTTCTGATAATAGGCTTTGTCACGTGGAACCTCTTAGCCTCAGCGTTCCGGAGCTCCAGGAAGGGAGTATTTAAAGTCAGAATTATACATATATTGTTTCTTTGGTAAGTCTTAATAACTTCCCACAGCTTCACAGTTAGATGTTGTGTGACTTTTACCAGATTTGTCTGCATTTCCTAGATGGGAGAGACCTTAAGAAAATTTAATTTTTACTCACTAGGATATTTTAAGTTTCCAAGTGAGTGACTCGTGCATATTTTGTTTGTTCTTAATTGTGTTCTACTGTTCAGTTTGTTTGGCTGATTCACATGGTGTTGGCATCATAGAGTGTGGAAAAGTCGCTAGAGTCAGGTAGTTATCATGAGAGGTAGAGCTTAATCTCAGATGACCATCTTTAAGTAGTGTTTTCTTCTCTTTTTTTGCACGATAAAATGAGATGTATCTAAAGTTTAAATTTAAAAGGTTGTATAGGCTATTTGTCAAATACATTTAAAAAGATAGAAATTTTAATGGTTTCTTTTTGTTTCCATGTGTTTAGTTTCTAGAAACTTTCAGCACCCAAGATCCAGCCACCTCAAGGTCCCAACATCATGACCTCAGTCTCAGCGCAATTGTTCTTAGTCCTCATTTCGCTGCTTTTGGTGCTGCCTATTGTTGAAGCAGTAGAAGCCGGAGATGCAGTCGCTCTCTTATTAGGTGTGGTTCTCAGCATTACAGGCATTTGTGCTTGTTTGGGGGTATATGCACGAAAGAGAAATGGACAGATGTGACTTTAAAGGGCCTCCTGAATCAAACCTTGCCCTGAAAACATTTGTGCAATTTAGGTTAAAAACTGAGCTTTGGTGTCTGAAAGTTCCCAAGAAACAGTTAATAAGGTAATTTTACATTCATAGTTATTTCCCTATCAATGGGAATAAATTGCTGTCAACTGGAATAAAAATGCTTTTTTTCCACAACAAATAATGCACTGAAAAATGCATTCTACAATTTGTATTTTCTAATTAGAGGGTCAAAGAAGTAAGATGGCTGAAATTTGCATAAGTAATATTTCATAGTCCCAGAATTATCAAAGCACATGAAATTTTAAGGAGACTCATGCCCAGAATCCTAGGAAGTTGCCACCGTTCAGTTGTAATCACTGCTTCCTGCATTGCTGAGGAGTCTTTTCTCTATTTTTATTAATTTTTGTTTTGTTATCCCCAAGTTAATATTGTACTTAGATAGTAAATACAGTCAGAACTTAAAACTTTTATTTTTTGGTGGGGGAGGAAGGTTAGAAAAATGTATTCAATATATTCAACCCTGAAATAGAGAAAAGATTTAATGGAAAAAAATACTTTATATTGACATTGAAATGGAGAAAGAGATTTAATGTTTTAAAAAGCCATTATATTAACTGAGTAACACCCCTACGGTGAGAAATACTATATTAAATATAAACCCATATGTTGTCATTTTATGTGTGGTGTCTATTTGTTTATTTTAAGCTGTTTTTAATCTTTCTGTAGACTTTCATATAAGCTAAGTGAGAAGAGCAGGATTCCTTACCTTAGCTGATCACACTAGTTTATAGAGACAATCTGAAAAACGAGAAATGGGCAGCATCGAGGTAGGAGAGGCCCTTGGTAGAGAATCTACAGGTAGGGAAGGAAAATGTAATAGTCTATACTTATTTACACACCAACTGATGAAACATACCCTTTCTGACCTTGCTACTTTGTGTCTTCAAATCAGCAATATCACCTAGGGACTTGCTACAAATGCAAAATCCCAGGCCCCACCTAGATGGGATCAGAATCAGCATTTGTTTCAGAGCCCAGGATAATTCGTATGCACATTAAAGTTTTAAGAAGACTGCTCTAACTTGTTGGAGCCCAAGAATCACCCAAAGCACTTGATAAAACTCTCAGATTCTCAGGTCTCTCTACCAGTTGTTTTGTAGTCATATGTTGGGGACTGGAATGCTATGTTTAACAAGGGCCCCCAGTGTTTCTTTTGATTCTGTAGATACAGCCAACATAGAATAATCTGAGTAAATAAAACTTTAGTGCCTTGCTGGAAGCAGGTAGTCAAGATTTTTCTAAAATAATGCGTTATCTAATCTAGCTCTCCATGTGATATCGGGAACCATAATTTTGGCCAGAAAACAGGCAGCAGCAACCTAACATTCTATTTACAGTGCATTTCTGCAGGTGTGAGCTGATCTAGCTAAAGTGAGGGATTTGGTGGAGGGTACAAGGATTAAAAGATAGTCACTCTGTTTTTTATTAAAACTATATAATGGATCTATTTTTGTCATAGCTGTTTTGTTTTTTCACCCAAGAAAACTAACATTTTTTTGTTCAGAGAAATTGGCAGTTATACATTATGTAATTAATAGACCTTAATTTTACATGCCTCTTTAAAAAAAAATTATATATAAAAAAAATTACTTTATATATAGTAAAAGGAATGCAGATCATGGAATAGTTTACCCTGTCTCATAAAAACTAGCCCATTGGTACTGATGTACCAGGTAGAGAGGCTTTTTTCTTATATGTCTGAACTTTTCCATTGATATTGGGAGAAGTCAAACCTAAAGAATATTTTAAATCACAGTATGTTAGTCATTTAATCACTTCCAGACGCTATTTTTAAATGTTCAAAATAAGACTACAGGCAAACATTCTTTAATGAATGTGTATTTCCAGAAGTACCTAGAAGGAATTAGAAAAATGCTATTTTCCTATTTTAACCTTATAAGACAGCATTCAGGAATTTTGATAGACATGAAGGGGAATACCTTCTCTATTTTTAGCCTCTTCTAATCTATCTAGGTTGCATTATATGGTTTTGCCTAAAAGAACAGAAACTCTTAACCTTTTTGATGAAAGGTATGCTCATTTCCTAAAAAAAATACATATATGCTGGAATTTTTAAATTCAGAAATTCACAGAACCTAAAGTTCATCCAGAAATCCCAAATTACAAATTTCTGCTCATGAATTCTTTTTTTGAAGTTTTTTCCAATTCTATAATTCCTTGATTTGCTCTAAGAGATAACACCTGCTGTTGGAATAGTTATATATTGACAAATGTTCCCTAGGTGCATAATTTGTAGATGTCTAGTGTATACTCAATACACATTAGTTCGGTTGAGTCCAGTTAAAAAGGCAGAAGACTAATAGCTGAAATCAATAAGAAGTGCTCCTACCCAGGCTATTCTAATACCAAAAATCAGTGCATTTTTTGAATTGTTTCTCTGACTGCTTTAAAGATATTTTTCACTTTCTGTAGTTTTCAGAAGTTTTACCGTTATGTGTCTTGGCATGAATATCTTTGAGTTTATCCTATTTGAGATTTGCTCAGTTTCTTGAACCTATAGGGTTGTCTTTTCCCAAATTTAGGTAATTTTTAACCATTATTTTTTCAAAAGCTCTTTGCAGCCTCATTTACTTCTTTCCTTCTGGAACTCCAGTGACCTAGTTTTTAGATTTGTTGTTGTTGTTGTTACAGTCCCACATGTCTCCAAGGCTTTTTTTTTTTTTGGATACATTTCTTCTCTTGTTCAGATTGGGTAATTTCTAGTGTCTATCCTCAAGTTCACTGGTTCTGCTGTTGTAGTCTTAGTTCTAAACTTTCCATTTAGCTTTGTGACATTTCTTTGCTGTGGATTTCTATTTTTTCATTTGTTTTAAGCATGTATGTAGTTGTTTATTGAAGCACTTTTATAATGACTGCTTCAAAATCTGTCAGATAATTCTAACACTTGGGTCACGTCAGAAGTGACATCTGTTGATTGTTGTTTCTTATTCAAGTTGACATCTTCCTTGATATCTTCCAATACCTGGACATTTTGGGTATTATATTAAAAAGACTCTGGGTCTTATATATTTTGTGTATTTTAGCAGGCCTCCTCTGACATCACTCCCTCAGTGGAAGGAAGGATGCTGCTTCATTTCTGCCAGCTAGAGATAGAAGTCCAGGGGTCACCAAGTTACTGCTTTCCTTGGCCCTCCATTTACCCTAAGGGTTGAGTTCCTTGTGGCTACTGGGTAGGAGTGGAAGTCCAGACTCCCCACATGGTCTCTACTGTCCCATGGCCATGTCTGAGACCTTTGACATTTCTGAGTTGCCAGTTTCTCCAGTACCTCCTAGTGAGAGATTTATAAAACAAAAAGAAAACCCAAAGAATTTACCACCATGTCTCTTTTCCAGTCCTCAGGTCCTAGCCTGTCTGCCTTCTTTTCACCTTTCAAAATCTTCTGTTTGTTTTACATAAAATGTCAGGATTTTTAGCTATATTTAGTGAGTGAAATAGGATAAAGGATGTCTGCTACACCTTCCTGAAGAAGCCTCCTTAGTGCATATTTAAAAAGTGAATTTTCTAGAGACATAAAACACCAGGTAATTGATCGATTCAAAGTATTATACTCACAGACTTTTGTCTTGTGATCTCCCACATCTGCCCTACCTTATTCACCCAATGTACTTTTTATTCTTGTCTTTACCCAATAACCTCAACTAAGGAGTATGATTGACAATCAAGAATTCAGGAGTGCAGATGAAGTTAGAAAAATTGAACTGTATCCATATGTTGTCTCAGCATCGAGAGTACAAATGGCAGCTTCTTGAAAAACTAATGTGATAACAAATGTACTAATTGTGAAGAAACCAGCCAGGCCCAGGAAATCTCAGAAGCTATATATACATTATATGTACTTCATCCTCTAGGCTTTCTAAGCTCTGCAGAAGCTTGTCAAATGCCATTTCCAACCTTGGCTGTAGAAAAAGATGATGTAGCTACATAGCCTGCAGCACATAATTAAGGGAGGAGAATTCTCTGCGTAGGAACTATCTCCCTCCAAGAAATACATGTCGGTCCCTTTAGTGGTACCACAGTAGGGATTAAGGGCCAAAGCTCTGGAATCCAACAGACCTAGATATATAACTGGGTTCTACCACTTCAAATGTGATTTTAGGTAATTACTTAATTTCTTTTAAATTTCTGTCTCCCTACCTGCTAAATGAGGATAATAATCATACGTGCCTCACAGATAGATGAGGAATACATGAAATAATGAATGTGAAAGGCTCGGCATGCTGGATATTAGTAGTAATAGTATTTGGAGCTATTAGATGGGGAAGGGTCACTAACATTACTTTTGTATTTATATGTAAAGGGGGCATCTTTAGAAACTTATACAAAGCGTATATAAAAACTTATTATATTTTAATTTTGACATTTTGCCTGAATCTGTTTTATCATAGTTCCCCACCCCCATCATAGGTTTACAAATTAATGAAACACAAAGAAAGACATCTGTGAAGAAAATAAAATTTGGCTTTCCTAAAGTTTCCCCAAGTTGTCTTATTTGTACCTGTTTCCTGAGGAAAAGAAAAAGTAAGGAAATAAAGAAAGAAAATAATTGATTCTGTTTTAGTAATTCCTAACATGTTCAACCATGGTTCTTTCCCAAGTGACATAACAAAAGCTTAGCAGCAGCTGCTCAAGTCATTTAAGAATATGCAAGGAATTTGGTTCTGCCTGTTCAGAAAAATAGCAGCTCTGGTATACACTGACAAATATCTTCTCATTAAAAGTCATAAAGATATAAGCAACATAAAATGTGTTTAATGTTTATTTCCCACGGTAGGGAGTGAAGAGGCCCCTATTTTGACTTAGTAATTCCAGACAGAATTTTTATTCTTAGGTAAAAACGGGGCCAAATCAATAAATGTGGGTGCAAAATAGCATATTTAAATTTTTTCTAATTTTTAGTAACTTCATTTTTCTAAATCCTTTCTGTGATTAATAATAATATACATCTAACATCTTAATGCAAAAAGTAGACCAGAAAAATGTGACTGCTGCAAAATACTAAAATGTGGTTTAATGTCTTATTGATTGTAATATCAGAACTACAATACCCCTCTCACATATATTTCCACTGAATCCATTATAAATTGATATAATTTTAAAAATATTAGTTGGCACTTGATATTATGAAATGAAATTATGCATTTTATATACAAGACAGTTAATTATTTTTAACGGGGTAATCACGTGGCACTTGGTTAAACATTGTGATTATAAATACTATATTTCTCAATCACAATAATTATGCTCTGGATAAATGTGCATAAATCACTTAACAAAATAATTGTGAAGCAGTCATGATCACCAAGAACGAATACTATATCTATTTTAGATGATTTTTCAAAACAATGCTTTCATTTTGTCACAAAAATCATGAGGGCATTTTGATACCAACATAAAACTATTTTGTGGGTCCTGTGATTACATTTGCCCATTTTCATTTGTCTAATCAACACTTTTCAAGACATCAATAATCTAAAAAGAAAAAAGTAATAATCAACTACCAGGTGATTGACCTTGAGCCAATAATTTAACCTCCACAATTTTCATCTGCAAAATTACTTGTTAGTAATCTCTAAAAGGCTTCCTAGTGGTGGAATT